GTTGTTATTATTATTATTAATGATTATTATTATTATTTTAATTATTATTATTATTATTATTATTATTATTTTATTATCATTATTATTATTGTCATGATTATTATTATTATTATTTATTTCATTCAAATTATTTATTTTTCTATTAATAATAAAAATAAATAAAGATTTAATTTTAGAAATATAAACCTATTATTATTATTATTATTATTATTATTATTATGTAGTTTAAATATTCAAAATATTATTTATTTTTAAAAATTATAATAATAATAAATCTGCATTTATGTAATATGTGTCTATTTATTCATTGTTGTTTTTAAAAACAATGTCCACCCTGACATTTACTGCTCTTGCACCAATCTTCTCCCTCCTGACTGTGTTCCCACAGAGTGTCCCGCCGGCGAGCGCTGGCTCTGGGCTGACTCTGGATCAGAGCGAGTGTGTGAACGAGGCTGTCTGGATCTCTATTCTCCTGAACCGCTGAACTGCTCGGGCCCCGGGACCGCAGAGGGCTGTGTTTGTGAGGCGGGTCGATACCGGAGCCTTGAGGGCCAGTGTGTGATTCCTGCTCTGTGTGAATGTGAAGATGAAGACGGGACTCTTCAACAGGTACTCAATCACCACACTTTAGTTAATTGATGAATATTAGTCAGAGAGTTATAGAATCAAAAATAAAGTTCAAACTGCATGATTTAAGCCCTGATCTTGACTTGTCGACAGGTTTTGAGAAATCGCCCACAATTGTCTGAAATCACAGATAAACCAGAGCTTGTTCACCCGAGTAACACAGTGTGAACTATCAAAGAGGCAATCTGAGAGAATCGCTTATTAGTCGTCAATGCCCATGAGATATTTGGCATGCTAAATATCTCGACCGTTCTGAGATTCAAGTCATGTTGTGTGAAAAATATTCTGAAAATAACAGCGCCAATTCCCTACAGCCAATCAGAGAACAGCATCCACTAGTGTTGGTATCTGCAGGCCTTCGGGAGGTTGGAGGAGAAGTTAAGGGCTTCTTGTCAGTCCATTTGGACCCAAGAAATGGAGGAAAAACTAGTGTACATTTTCTTCCGCTCTGTATCAAACAATACAATTATTCATCAAAGACATTATTTAGGCCAAAACACAAATACAAACATGTAATAATAATAATTATAATAATATAAATAGGGTGGTGTAGTAGGTAGTGCTGTCGCCTCACAGCAAGAAGGTTGCTGGTTCGAGCCTCGGCTGGGTCAGTTGGCGTTTCTGAGTTTGCATGTTCTCCCTGCGTTTGTGTGGGTTTTCTCCAGGTGCTCCGATTTCCCCCACAGTCCAAAGACTTGTTGTACAGGTGAATTGAGTAGGCTAAATTTTCCGTAGTGTATGAGTGTGAATGAGTGTGTGTGGATGTTTTCCAGAGATGGGTTGCGGCTGGAAGGGCATCCGCTGCGTAAAAACATGCTGGATAAGTTGATGGTTCATTCCGCTGTGGCGACCCCGGATTCATAAAGGGACTAAGCCGACAAGAAAAGAAAAAAAATAAAAAAAAAATAATAAATAAATAATATAAATAATAATAATAATAAAAATGATAATGATAATTATAATAATAATAATAATTATTATTATTATTATTATTATTAATTAAAAAATATATATTAATATAAAAAGCAAGAAAGAAAATAATAAAAATAATAAAAATCAATAAAAATAATACTGAAATAAAAGCAAAGAAAGAAAAACCATGATATATGTAAGATAAATATACAATACAAAACATATATAGACATGTGTTTTCTCTGTGCTCTCTATTTTTAACTAGACCAGGAGCAAAGAAAATGGGTCAGGTTTAGAGTTTTTGTTTGTTTCTTTTTTCTAATTTTGTCAATACTTTATTATTAGTATTATTATTTTTATTACTATATATTTTGTATATGTGAGAGAAAGGGTTGCTTTATTATTATAACAAATTGTATAATAATAATAATAATAATAATAATAATAACGGGAAAAGAAGGGCAGCACAGTGGCGCAGTGGGTAGCACAATCGCCTCACAGCAGGTTATTTTGAGCAGATGAGTTTTGTGTCTGGATTTAAAGTCAATGTTGCAGATGTCAGGAATATATCTAATATTGTATTTCTGTGCATACAATATTATGCTGTATATCTAATTATATATATATATATATATATATATATATATATATATATATATATATATATATATATATATATATATATATATATATATATATATATATATATATATATATATATATATATATATATATATATATATATATATATATATATATATATATATATATATATATATATATATATATATATATATATATATATATATATATATATATATATATATATATATATATATATATATATATATATATATATATATATATATATATATATATATATATATATATATATATATATATATATATATATATATATATATATATATATATATATATATATATATATATATATATATATATATATATATATATATATATATATATATATATATATATATATATATATATATATATATATATATATATATATATATATATATATATATATATATATATATATATATATATATATATATATATATATATATATATATATATATATATATATATATATATATATATATATATATATATATATATATATATATATATATATATATATATATATATATATATATATATATATATATATATATATATAATATATA